AATAATAAATAAGGTTATGGAACTCGTGGAAATATGTAAATCAATTAGCCTTTTTTTAAATCAAATTACATCCTCCTATCCCTTTCTTCTTCAGAAGAAACCTGAGTCAGAGTATGACGATGCTAGCTCAGAGGATGTGAGCTTGACTGAAAAACAGCAGCCATGTTGCAAAAACTACAAAGCTAATTTCTGTTTGATGACTGCCAGTCATTGAGCCGCCCCTAATCATCCCTAATGGGATGTTTCAACATCCATGCATTTAATGGATGAATAGTATTATCCTTTAAGGTGAATGGGGAAAACACAGTATATTCTGATAAACTTAGGGGAAATTTAATCTGCCCATTGTGAGAGGAATCATATTGGGGTTTTTTTTCAGTTTTGGGAGGTTGTGACATCGGCATCATTCTTCTTTTTCTCAGCAGCCTCTCCTTTTTATATTTTCTCCCAAAATTGAACTCATCATCACTTCCAGCTGAAATCAAACAGAGTTGGAGGGTCTCCAAATGTAATTTTGTGAGAGTGTCTCAGGGAAATTCAAATAAAATCTATTTTTGCATAGTGGTAATTTAGGGATGATTCCAAATAGCAACTTGCTGCTTGGTGCTATAATTATAGGTGGAACCTGCACATATTGTTATTTCCTTTTATCTATTTTTGGGGGGGATATATGTTAATTTTGCAGGCACATTTATATAATATATATATACTGTGTGGAAAATATGTCTATGTGTATGTATGTGTGCTCTTATTTATTTAGTTAGTTCGATTCATTCATATTCATATTCATATTGTTTGTTGTTGTTTTTTTGTGAGTTGCCTTGTGTGTGTACAATGCATTGATTGCTGGTGTTTGTTGCATTTGCATTGCTCGGACGTTTAATTTACTGTGATAATGTCGGTGAAAGAGATAATGATGAGGATTGCAGTGACCACAAATGCTGATGTGTCTTGTCTGAATGATTACAAAATGACCTTTGATGCTGTTTCGTCTCTGTTGTCGTAGAGCTGGAATCTGGACACAAGAAATCCTCAGAGAAGGAGAAGTTCAAGTTATGATTTATTTTTAAAAATGTGTTTTTCCTTTCTTTCACCGACTGCAGCAAAACACGACTGGAGGTAAAACGCTTGAATTGTTTTCCTTATTTTACACAGGTTACAATATTACTATAATGGATCATAACATAATCTATGTTTTACTGAGCATTAGCATCAAAATTAGAAGGGCATATCAGGGGTGCAGCTTCAGTTTGTTATAGACTCTTGTCTATCCAAGCTAAAATACAAACTGATGAGGCTTGCCAAGTTTGCCTGGAGTCAGTGAACTACCAAATCTTTCATATCCTACATGTAAAGGATTCATCTCAGTGTTTTAAAAGTGGAAAATATGGCAAATGGAAATGTTTTATGTGGCCAGACAGAGAATCAAAGGGTCTTCCCACTCAGATTTAACAGTTTTTTGGTGAGGAAAATGATATACAGTGCAGTTAAAATGCTGTTGAATAAGTGAATTTAACTCACATAGGCCTATAGGTATTTTAATTGCCAATGATATTAGTTAACATGAAACAACCACAGGCAAGGCAGGACAAATTCCCCCATGGGCAAATCTTCTCTTAACTAGACAGAGGAAACTAATGAATTGGTTTTGATTTCAAAGGAAATATAAGAAGCTTATAGAGGACAGCAGTCCTTCCACCAGTTCAGCTGTGTGTCCCATTTTAGACGTTTTTTTTATTTCCCTTTTTAACAGATTTTTCACAGGATACATGATATGCAAGAATGTGGAGCATTAAACTTTGTCATAAACATTTGATTAAATGTCCCTTTCTCATTTTCACAGAGCTACCACTGCATCCTGACAAATCTAATGAGGCAAAAACATGTGCAAAGTTGATATATGACAAATCCAACTTTAATGACTAACATAATACATGGACGTTGTAATCTGAGATTTTGAAGGAACTGAAAAACAAGGCTGCAGTTTCCAAGGTTACCAGTAATACAGCTTTGTTTTTTTGGGGGGGGGGGTAATTTGTGTGTGTTGGGTTTGAGGGGCTGTGTTGGGTGAAAATAATAAGTGCAGGAAAGACAGCAAGTGGCCACTGTGTCTGTCCTTGTTGAGTTGTAATCCTATAAACACCTTTAAAAGGGTGACATATACACAATCAAACCCACACACCATATCAGTGTGTACTGATATCAAAAGAAAAAAAGTGACCACTTTTTTCGGTAATATGGAAATTCATCCCTGTAAATTCAAACACAAAAACCCATGAACACCCAACTCATTCAGATATATTAAAGATTTATTCTGAGAGGTCAAAGTGTCACAATGTGAACACAGAACTTGGGTGATGTATCAGCACCCATTTGACAGCTGGATGTGATAAGAGCCCTTGGGCATGTTCAGGGATGTGTCTGTGTATTTGCTCATCGGAGAGGCAGGTGGTTGAAGGACTGAATTACTTTGCTCTGCTTTATTCATGTTTTGGCTCCGGCTCCCCCCAAGCATTCTTGAAACAATGCACTGGAAGTAATATATATTTGTGCATTAAGGGGGTTTGGAGCGATAGTGATTATTTATTAGTAACAGCAATGGGAAATATGGTGACTTTCCCTCCATATGGAGCACCTCTCATATATGCAGCACCGAATACAGAGTCAATGAAAGGGAAGTTTAGGAGTCTAGACTCAAAATCATCAATCAGCTTCTCAGGTTTCCTAAATCAATACTATGTGATGACACTTTGGCAGCTCTATGCATACGTCTGCCAAACACTGTTGGGACAAAAAAAAACAAGACTCTGCCACAATACATTTTCCTCTCTCCCTCTTTATTCGCCGAGGCAGTTGTTTGTGACAGAAACAGTGGCAGGTCACAGGTGCCACCAAAATTAACCATCTTCTTCCTTCCACTGCGAAGTGCGAACATTTACCCTCCCATATCCTGACATACAGCTCTGTGGATGCATTCACCCGGTGCGTTAGATTTCAACTTGCCCACAAATGAAGAATAGACTTCTTATCACAAGTAGAGGCGACTGCTGACCCAGTTTGAAGCTGGTAGCGTGTGCCAAGGTCAGACACCCACAGCTTTTATTTGTTCACAGGCCGCCAAAAGGCATTCTTGACTCAGGTCTCTACACTGTTGTGTGTTTTTTCAGTTCTGGATGTCTTTTCTGGACCTTTGTGAGCCTACGCAAGAATATTTTACATTACATTACATATTTTACAACTCTTTTTAATAAAATCTCTTTTTTTATATTTAAATTAAACAAATAAGGTAAAATAACAAAAATGTAAACCTTTATTACAGATACATCTTCTTCAGTTAAATATATTATTTGAAATAGAGTTCTCTATTGGATATTTCACACCTATTTACTTACCTGAAGTAATCATTCTGCTTTATATTGGAAAGTATAGTAAACAGTAAATTGTGAGTTTGTCTGTATTTGTACATAGCTAATAATTTGGTGTCTCTTGACAGGATTTTGATGTCTTAATCTTTGTTTTACAGACTCTTTGTGATGTTGAGGATGCCATTCATAAATCTGACCTGATGAAAAGCCTTTGGAGTCAAAACACTGTCAACAAAGAAAGCATGAGATACGCGGCTATCTCTGTTTCCTCTTTGCATACTAAATTATTAAGCCGTGATGTGATGGGGAAGGCCTTTGCTGCCACAATACTGCTCTCTGCTGGTAAATGAACTTCTTATTTTAGACTGACCTTTGAACTGTATAGAGCAGAGCTGGGAGAGTATGAGCACTCAGTTTTGTTAAAGGAAAGTGCTTTAAAGACATCTTTTTGCCATTTTCAAAATTAAAATCCCTGGATGAGTGTACCATATTATTAAAAATGCGTGTACTGTGTATTTGCATATGTACGAACAGAGATTAATCAACCCAGTGTCATTAATTATTTTACACTGTACCTCAGAAGTGTGAACTCTGTAAAGACTATATGCATATTTATTAATGTTCTGTCTTCTCCTCATGTAGGTTTTATGATACAGATTCTCCACCTTGTGACTTACAGATTTACAGACTGTGGGGGACATGCAGTTTCAGTAATGATTCCCACGATCCCCAGCTGCAGGGGCCTCCCGAACATTTGGAGTAATATCACTTTGTTCAGATTCTACAGTCGCATGTACGAGCTCTACACTCGCACGTTGTCAGGAGCTTAAAATTTCCTGCAGAGCCCCTGGAGCTGACCACCCACCTCTTTTTAGCCTTGTTAAAGAACCAAAGGGAAATCATATTTCGAGATGGATACCTTCTCTCTTCATCTGCACTATGCTTATTACTGCATCCAAGAAAGATCAAAGCTACCTAAACTACCCTCAGAGCTTGCAGCCCCCTGAAGATTCTCCACAGTACTAGAATAACGAGGTGAAGACTGCCTCCACTTTTATCTTCACCTTGCTTAGCAAGTGAGTCATATTTGTCAGAAGTGAGCCTTTTTGGCCAGAAGTGCCCTTCTCTTCTTATAAATGCACTGGGGGAGAGTTAAAAACAGGCAGGCAAACACATTCAATGTCATTATTACTGCTTTGTTCGCTGCTAAAGGACAGAAACCTATATTTCCCTGCTGCTGGGTATTGATTTATGTATCAGCATTACCCAAAACTTGCAGCAATAATCAAATGTGACCAGTATCAAGCGGTGAGGCAGCAAACTAACGTGGGGACCCTCTCCCTCTCTGTCTATCCTGAAACAGCTGTTTGAGCTCTAATTAAAGGGAAGTAGCAGGTGTCACCTGAGCCCCAACTGCAGGGGCACACCTGGTTGCATTAATTTGATCCAAAGTGGTTTTGACGGACTGCCTGCACTCTGGCGTCCCACATTAAGCCACTGGAACTGAGCACCTGCTTGGAGCAAGCAGGCAGGAGCACTCCGCTAACACCGCTCCGTGGAGGAACGCCAAGCTGGCGAGCACATGTCTTCGCAGTGACCCAGGGGACGGCTCCGTCATCCCTGCCTCTGACTTACCAGCAACATCTGTAACTGAGCAGCAGTGCGACGCTGACCTGTAGTCACACTGAACTGAGGGCTGGGTGTGCCCGAGATAATTGTCTGTGGAAACCTCCCAGAGGCTGTGAAGGCAGCTTGTTTCAGATCTCCTGATGATTTCACAGGACATTTAACTTTACACCTCTCATTTGTTACCTCCTCGGGGTATTTCCAAATATCCATTACCAGGTTTCCAAGGAAGGTAGCAACCCTTAACCTTCACTAGTTTTTATGCATGCATAAATTGCCTTGGGGATAAATGTGACACTGCATTTGCGGGGACTGGCATGATGTGTTTTGTGTGCAGGCTTAAGCAAACAGATGACCTTCAAAGCTGAGCAGCAACAAAAATGCCCAGATTGTGGGATTACAGATGCAATATTGTGTCGTCTCTCTGACACTTCAATTGCCAAACGAAATTTACATCACCCAAGAATTAAGCTCCAGCGGCTTGAATTGGTCCTGCCTCGGGTCATGCTGCACTCTCTGTTGCAACAGTTTCTTTGTGCCACGACAATACATTAATTTCATGAGTCAACAGGCTACGACTGGCAGTTTGTGTCGAGCTAAACAGTGTTTAATTGGATTCCGATCCATGGCAACACCACCGGAGGCTTGTTTTCATCTTTTATTTCAGCAGCACCTGGAGCGTAATGGTGGTGATTACATCCCTCCTGTGGTGTCCCAGAGGTTCAGCCCTCATAGGCCTCTGGGAATACGCTGCTGACAGTCACGGTCCATGCTGCCCTGCTGCCCTGTTTGGCTGCTGGCAAACCCTGAGCTGCTGCTGCTGAGGGTTTTTGTTACAGCACTGCTGAGACAAGCAGGTTCAAAGCGAATCATGATAATACAAACCAAATTAATTGTTTGTTGCGCAAACTCAGGCACAGTCGAAATTCCAAACAACATATCAACAGAGATTTCTATTTGTATACATTCATGCAATTAAAATGGTTTGCTTCAAAGTAAATTGGATTTTCTTTGAGAGAACTTTTATGAAACACAAATGGAGCATGCAGTTCTCATGGTTATAGTGGAAACTGAAGGACCAGTGTGTAGGATTTAGTGGCATCTCGTGGTGCAAATTATAACCACCTCGCCTCACCCTCCTGTTCCAAATGTGGAGGAAAAAAAGGCGAAAGGCTCTAAATAGTGCCAGTGTTTGGTGTGTCCATTCTGGGCTACTGTAGAAACATGTCGGTTCAATATGGTGGCAGAGGGATGGTAACGAAAACACGATTCTTATTTTCAGGTGATTGTATACGAAATATACCTTATATTTACTTCTGCCAACACATCCTCCTAAATGCTACACACTGAACCTGTAAAAGTGGATTGAATGGGGAGAAAGTACATTTTTGACTTTTAAAACAGCAGTTGACAAAACAGTCTAACCGCAAGGTGTGTTCAGTAGCTGTCCCAGCACTTTCAATCATATCACACAATGCTCCTCAGCATCTGCAGGCCGGATTATATTTTCAACTGTACGGAATTTGTTTGGAAAACTCACAAAAGACGTTACATTAATCTCATGTTAAAAATGTCAAATTAAAGGACTAACTTTTAAACACACTTATTTGCTTTCTTGCTGAGAGTTAGATGAGAAGACTATGTGTACAGTACATATGTAGCTGGAGTCAGCAACCAGTTAGCTTAGCGTAGCACACAAACTGGAAATGGAGGATAACAGCTAGCCTAGCGCTGTACAAAGATAACAGTATTTGCACCAGCACATCTAAAGCTCACTAAATAACATGTTGTATGTTTTTGTTCTAACTTTTACATAAAACACAGTGTGAAAATGACAGTTAGTTATTGTGGGGTTTGTGCCAGACTTGGTTAAGTGCAGTTACTTCCTGGAGTCTCTGCTGGTTGCCTGGCAACATCATGTTGATGAAAAGACTCTGGAGTATTGTTTTGTTTTATTTGACTGAGCATTAAATTAGTTCAAATGTGTTAATTAGTCATTTTTAGAGGTGTTGGTAGGTAGATTTTGTTACCATTGGACAGAGGCAGGCTAGCTGTTTCCCCCTGCTTCCAGTATTTATGCTAAGCTAAGCTAACAGGCAGCTTCATATTTACTGTACAAACTAGGCATCAATCTTCTCATCTGACTCTCAGGCAAAAAAGTGAAGAGTGTATTTCACAAAATGTCTTGGCTATTTCTTTACACATAAAGGGTATGTAAAAGTAAAGTAAACAAAAATGGCCTGCACATGAAGTCAGCGCTGACAGCACAGGGAGGAATAACATTGCTGGGCCTCTGACCTTCAGTGTAGCCCCACACCGTCTTACAACCACAGAGTCAGACATATCTGAATAATACATGGTCCTCCCCTGCTGGGACCACCCCCACCGCTTACACAAGCAGAGGTACACAAACACCGTATTCACATCATGGTGTGAGGTTTGCCTCCCACAGCAGCCCGTACAATAATGAACACAGTGTGTTTGACCAGCTGAGGCCAGGTCCCTGTATCTTACAACATGTTTATACAGGGACTCATGTTATCGAATGGCTTTTTTAGCTGCAATTCATGTTGGCAATGGATGCGTTTTGGCCCAAAACTTTATTGTAAATGAATGTTATTGCTCTGATGTCTAATGGTTAAACACACGTGTCGTTTTAAAGATTGCAGACCTAATCAGAACATAAATTTTCTGTCCCTACCTCATCCATCCTGTCCCTTATTCTTTTTTTCATGTTCTTTTTAAAAAAAGAACACACTGCTGGCTCTACAGTAATTTCTCACCTCCATCCAAGTAAGTGAACAATAGATCGAGCCACGACAATTCTGCTGTTGACACAGTGAGAATGAACAGAAATGCATGAAACATTTGAAAATCCCCTGTGATTCCTGGAAAGGCAGGCTGTCGCTCTCTTGTTTCCATCTGCTTTACATACAGGAGCAGCTCCACGGCTTCCACTGAGATTATTTGAATTTCATAGAGTGTTTGACATTTGATAATAGTGCCGTGTGTTTATAGATTCTAGACTTCCCTGCTGAAGGTTTCATATCATGTTTGTTCAGGCTTCCCCCCCCCCCCCCCCACCCAACCCCACAAAAAAAAGCAATTGAATACAAAAAACTCAAATATCTCTGTGTGACATCAAAAAGACAAACCCAATTATTGTTTTAGCTTCGCATGAGCAGATACATATCAATCAGCCTTCTAGGAATATCTGTATTTACATAAAACATTCTGAGTAGCAGGTGCAATGAAAAGAAGGGGGGGAAACAAATGTTTGTATAACAATTGCAACATCATTTATTATAATGAAAGAACCGTTGTCTCAATGCCACATAATGGCTTGATGCTATTCACCTGTTGAGGCAGATGTGTATTATTTATCTAAAGTGTCTCTACCTGTAAGCAAATCAAGTTGTGCTGTGGCAGGAGCACTGTTTACTCTGAACTGACTGAGCTTCACTGCAGCTGGTTGATAATCTATAAAAAAAGAAGGAGCTCAGATAAGAGAGGAACAGATTTTTGTGCAGCTATAAGACAGAGAGGTTGAGGACAGATGGGACAGTGTAGGAGCAGAGTGTAGGAGGGTGTACGCAGCGGGATGCTGGCAACATACCACAAACAGGTGTGTGTAAAGTGTGTGTGTGTGTGGGTCTCCTATGCAGTCCAATACATATATACAGAATGAATCTTGTGCAGATGTTAGTACCCTCTACTGAAGCACAGAGTGGACGCAGACGACATCTTTTAAATGTATTGAATTATTACAACGGAGAGTACATGTCTTTTTCTTCTTTTAAAAACAGTTTTGGGAAGCATTTTATTCCGTTTTGGACACATTTAAACGTAACGTGGAACCAATGTTTTCCGACGTCCAAGTTCCCTTCCGGTATGTTTTTGTTGGCCCACAGGCAGCGGCGGCGCTGGTTACAGTCTCGTTTATGAAAGATAACATTGGATCAACGGTGTATATGTCGTATTAAAAGGTAAATATAGCATTTGACGTGTTTAATTCACAATGAACCAGCGCTGTTTGAGCAGCTTAAAAACCAAACAAATGTTGTTTGTTGGGTAAATGTTCGGTTTCACATTAGATGTAGCAAAGAATAGTTCATATTTTGGAGCAGAGAGGTTTTAGCCTGGATGCCATATTGAAACTGCTCCTCATGATATCAAATATACTGGAGCCTTATTGGGATGCTATTTACCAGCAGTCTGATTAATAATTCACTACACATAGTGAGGAGGAACTATACAGTAAATATACAGAATCAAATTGTCGTCCCATTATGTTTTTGCTTAAAGATCCAGATTAAAACTACATATATTTGGCAAAATCTTAATATTTTCTGCATGTGGGTGTAAATATATATTTTCATTTTTTCATTTTGAAGTTATTATGATAGGCATCCGGTCCTTCAGTTCATCTCTTTATGTTTATTGTGAGATTGTGGAATAAACCTGAGCATAGAGTGAATATCTAAAAAGGACTCTAGAGTCCAATTTCTAAAGGTTTTTAAAGAAAAACATCATTATCTTTCTTCCACTGCTGCCTTTGAAAATGGATGAGGTGCACTTTCCGTGAAGGTTCACTCAGCCCATCTTCCTTAATGACTTCCATAATACAATTTGACAATAGGGCCGTAACTCCCCAGACATCCTAAATAATTGGAGTTTCTGCTTGTTTTGTTGTTTTTGTAAAATATGCATTAAGTCAAAGGTTGCACAAATGTTTCAGCTGATGAGACTGTGCAGAATATCCTGACTGATATTAGTGCTGCTGGAGTGCACTCCAGGGTCAGAACCGCCCGGACACTGCTGATGACCTCCGGCATGTGGCGTATTAAAATGCAACCATTCAGTTTAGTTCTGTTAAATCTGCCTCAGAGTTCACCAGGCTGTGTTTCTGTACTCAAACAAATCAGGTGCTCAGAATTGGCTGCCTCAGACGTTTGGCATCAGCTCCAGCTGCACAGAGCGTCCAAAAACTGATGGGAGTCACATGGAGGCAGAGTTGGCGGTTTCAGAAAGCACGTGACGGAGGGTGACGTCACTGTGCACGTGTCACACTCACAGTTCTGGCTCGTGATGTCCTCACCTGCGTTTTTTTGGTTGCCAATTTGGATATTAGGTGCTTACATCTGTTTCACTGCAGCAAAGAGGCTGTCAGCGGCAGGAAGAGCAAGTGTCCTGTGCGTGTGTGTAATGATGGCAGTTTTAGCAAATGGTGACAAGACTGAGCGGACCGGTGACCATCTGAGCGCAGAATACGATTAAAGGACAACCTTTGCCACTGAAACTCAGAGTGAATAGTTAGTCAGTAAAATTTGAAGCACTTCATCATTAGGAATTCAGTCTGAACACGTGTTGTCCTAACTCACCTTCACTGTCTGTCCCACAGCATAAATAAAGAACCTTTCGTCAATGGCCACACTGTGGTCAAAGGTCTCTGCTGTTTTGCCTCTTAATGAGGAACAGTTTCCACTGCAGTTCGGCGACAAAGTGGAGTCAAGTGTGGTGGAAATGCTCAAACGGTCCAGGCAGCAGCTGTACAGCGACGCTACGAGCGCTAGCCGGATGCTTAATGCTCAGATCATTTTGGATTTTTCATGGGAGAAACTCAACACGGGAACCTGGCGCCACGTGGACAAAGAATGGAGGCGCGTTTATTCTTACGGCTGCCTGTTCAAAGCGGCCGCTCTGTGTCGTGAAGATCCGTCAGCAGATCAGCTCCTGCAGGCTGTAAGGACTTGTGACATGGGTTTACTCATGGGTGCAGCCATCATGGAGAATATACTTCAGGTTATGGTTCGGATTCTCCAGGGTGAAGTCAAGTCCACTAAAGAACAAGATGAAAGTGAACACCCAGAGGT